TTATGATTTATTAACAAATTTATGGTTAATGCATTAATTTGTTAAGTAATGCAATCCTTTATAATTATTGCTGCATGAATTGATTAATTAACTTCTATATTTGTATAAATAATTATTTGATGAATAAGCGGAGGAAAACCCTCTACAGCTGAGAGCGGTTGGTTTAAAACACCCTGGAAAGGTCAAAGTTTAAAGGTCAAAGTTCATGCGGTTTTCGTTTCACCAACTTGGCGCGTGACGCCGAAGGGAATCGGGGTCATCTTTGCAAAGGACGGAATCGGATGGAAAATGATTTTCCTTGAAATTTCTCCAAAACAGACTCGTAGGAACGCTGACGTCAAAAAAGAGAAAAAATGCAACTCGTATTCGTTTCAAAAGGGCAAGAATCCGCCCTCTTTTTGACTGCAGAACGGGAATTGAGGGTCGTTCGACTTCAACGCAGGAAATCTAGATGAAAGGCAAACGTTATCATTCCTCAAATCGGAAAAATTGCCAACGGTCTCTCCGTTCGAAATTTAATCTTAAAGGGGGAGAGAGACCAGGAAATCGTCCGCGCCATCACCGGAAAAAAAAAAATAGAATAAGCTCCGCGAATGGACGAGGGTCCGGCGTCGTTCGGGGCGATAAAAGGGCAGGGATCGCACTGGGAGGGAATTTCATGCTCGGAGAAATGTGTTTGCAGGCGGAGGAAGAGACGGCGAGGAAGGGCAATGGATATTCCATTCCCATGGGAAACCTCGAGAAAATGGGGGTTATTAGGGCCAGTTTGTCACTTTTTTCTCTCCATTCCTTCAATCCGCCGTTGCCATGGCAACCGGTGAACTTTGCTCGATGCGCATGCGCAGTCTTTAGCCTGGATCGGGGCGCCGGTCGACTGAGTAAAACCGTCAGTTCCCCTCCAGCCTTTGCAACCGAAGGATCCATAGTTGACAAAGGGAAAGAGCGACCTCCTGGCAGCGTAGACAGGGTTGCTACCCGAACTCGCGAATCGTCGCATCTGGCATCCGTGCTTAACTCTCCTTCCGTCTGCACGCGACGCGCGAGCCATGGAGGACTTAGTGTTACGACGTGCGAATAGCAACTCTATTTTTCCAAAAATTTCTGTCGGCCATGATGCAACTGAGGGAGAAACCGGAACCACCACGGAATGGCTTATCTGAACCTAGACTGGCTTCTTTCTCTGTCTGGGCATGAATACCTCGTTAGGGAATGTTCTCAGACGAAATGGGGGCCTTTGCCCGAGTCCAAAGGGCCAAAATAAAGTTGGATCTGTACACTTGCCTCATACTAATGCAACTAATTTAATTAGTCCAATTTTGTTATATGCAGGTCGTTCTCGTGCTGATACTAATTACACCTTACCAATAACTTGGCATGATCGGTCTCACCCATAATTGTCGTCTCTTCACACCTCACACCGATTACCGTAATAGACCCGGAGCTGTCGGATGACTCGGGTATCTCACCAATTATCCGATGTTTCCCGGGACAAAAGAGGCGGGACGTCTACTCTCCGCCACACCCACTCTGACCGCAGTTGCGAATTTGGAACGACCGGGTCGACTTGACCTCCCCGATTGCACGGGGCAGACAGAAGGAACGCGGCACGTCTCCACGCCCCCGAGACGAAGGGTAACTTTGGTTGAAAAAGAGGCGAAATCTAAAGGCCGTTGACGACACGCACGACAGAAATTACGACCTCTTCCCGGGGATACTTTGAAATAAACAGAACCGACACAATGCCTCCTGCAATGTACGTTAGAAACAGGCGACAAGACCTGCCACTCACCCGTCTATGATGGCCTTTTTATTATCGTGCTGGAAATGGAACTGTGCGATGTAGCCTTCACACCAAGATCCAAGGTCCGCTTGGAACGAAAAACAAAACAAAACTGTCATGCAGACGAGTCAGACGGGCGCGTCTCGGCGCCGCGTAGGACCGAGTTTTCACTCGGTCCTGCCTCGGGCCATCTCCGCCATCTCTGTCTAGTTCGATTAACAGTTCCACGCAACGTATGCACTTTACGAGGGTCGCTCGGAAAGTAATGCACATTTATATTTTTCTCACTCTGTATTGAAGATAATTACTTGAAATTAACGAGTAATGTCAATCAGGGCTTTGCGATGAACCGCCTATTTTTCGACATAGTCACCATTTCAGGTAATGCACTTTTCCCAACGTTTTACCAGGGCATGAATTCCATCCACTTAGCTAAGAAATAGAACTGAAGATGGCGCGGCCATAGGAGTAGCATAGGGAAAACGGGTGCATTTAGAAGCAATATTGGTTGGGTCTAGGCTAAAGCGGGCCTGCGGTGATATTCGAGAAATAGGTGACTTGCCCACATGAAAGTAAGAGTTCCGACATGACGTTATCAGTTATCAGTTATACAACCCCAGAATTATTAGACCTCCAGTATCATGACTGCCTGCCACCATGATCACGACAGCAAGAAAACTAGGATGGGAAATTATGAAAATCTCATTGTAGTGAATGGAGAAGAGCCTCCACGGACCCAACTAAGATGGCTTCCAATTGCCCCAATTCCATTGTATTGTGCGCCATCTCCAGTTCTATTTCTTAGCTTAGTGATTCCATCCCGATAGAAGCCCTCGCCCATGTGACGAAGTCACCTTCAAACTGCAATCTTCACGTCCTCATCATTCTGAAAGCGATGTCCCCTGTGGTAGTCATTCACGGGTCCGAAGAGGTTGTAGTCGAACGGCGCCAGGTCCGAAACAGCAATTCGCATAGCACCCAAGTGATGATACGCCTATCGTTCAACCACTTTCTTGATGCTCTCGCCAGTGATGGCAGCGATGGGTCGTCCTGATCGCGCCTTGTCTTTAACCCTCGTCTCTCCAGATGTGAAGCGACTCACCCATCGTCAGATAATGCTGTCATCAACGCAGGCGTCACCATAAGAAACTTTCCAATGGCAGTGGATATCCGCAGGCTTTACACCCTCCCAACCGAGGAATTCAATTACTACTCTCTGCTTTTCACCCACCTGAAGTGTGGCAGCCATTTTGAACGTGTCTCCTGCTTGTGTCTCCCAGCAGATATTTGTCAAACTTGTGAATTTTTGGCGGGAAAGTTCATCATTTACGCAGAAAATCTTAAATCGGACCTAGCATGCATACATTTCGTTTAAAAAATTATTGTGCATTACTTTCCGAGCGACCCTCGTATTTTGATGGCTGCAGTTGGAATAGATGGTGGCTTACAGGGGATAACCAAAGCGAGTCTCCTTTTTCTTACACGATCGGGGAACCTAAACTTTGTCTGTGTCCTTGAGCCTAGACATAAAAAAAAGACTTCGTCTCCTAGTCGATCAGTGTCTCACCGCTCGTGCTCCTGTAATCTTTTCGCATTTTGCCATTTGATATTATGCTGTTATGCATCACGTCATTCTCTCATCACACTCATCATTCCCAACCAGGTGTCGGCGGGATGCGTCGGCGTCAAGTGCAAATCCTGCGGGAAGGAGACGAACGTGATGAAGGTGCTCCAGGCGCTGCAGGGCACCGAGAAAACCTTCAACGCCGCCGTCGCCCTCATGGCCGAGGGGAAGGCAAAGCTCGCCCTGCAGTCCTTCTTCGACCTCATCACCACTCTGGACGCCTACCTCGCCCCGCCCTACCGCGACTACCACCTGTGCCAGGAGTACGTCCGCCGCTGCATGCTCAGTCTCGGAAGCGTCCACGTCAGCGGGTCCCTCCCGCTCGTATGAAAGGTTTTTTTTTTTCGAGTGCATTTTTTCTTTGAATTTATTTGAAAAAACAAGCGAAAGCAGTGTATTCCTCTCGAATATTTGGACAATCGCGCCAATAGAAAAGGATGGCATGCCGTAGTATCGCCTACATACCAGTAAAATAAAGTATATTTTAAAAATCTCAAAGCAAGCAAAATCCCGCTTCCAAGCTGACCAGTGATGCGAAGGTTTGGTCCAATCCCAAACTTACAACTCAAATGCTGTACCCAACAAGACCGGAAAGGTTGGCATAGGGGTCTGGGATCATATCGAACGGATTCGTCTTTGTGTGCTAGCAAAGAAAAAAATAACGTTATCATTGCCAGATTCTTAAAGATGGTTGGAACCAAATTTCACAGTTTTTTCGGCTTACCTCATGGATCATCTTCTTGTCGATCACTTCCTGGAACTTGAAGCGAGTTCGGAATCTCGACGTTTCCAAGATTGAAACGTATTCTTTGCTGATGTTCCTTGGAACCCCAGTCTGAAGAGGAGAAAATTAAGCTATAAAAGACGAGGGAACCTGCCAACAGAGTCGGTCGAAACGAGGTTGACCTTGAAAACAAGGTCGTGCGTGAATTCCCAGGTGTCCGAGCAGTTGAGGAGCTTCCCATTGTAAATAGCGGCCTTTGGAGCGGCAGCATTGTTCAACGGCTTGAAGATGCGATACGTCACAGACGCAAACCTCAGGCCCTTGGGGGGTGGGTCAGCTGATGGAAGACAAAAACATTCGCAGGTCGGCGCTGGAAACGAAATTCGATATTTTCATCCGTCTGTAGAGCCAGACCTCTTCTCCGGAGTTCTTCGACCGCGAGGAAGACTGGATTCACCTCCTTGATCAAAGGAGGATGGAACCCGATTTCGTCGCAGAGGGCGTGCAAGTCTTCCCACCACAGAGCGCCAGAGAAACGTTCGCCCCAAAATTCATTGTTTTCTTTCAGGGATTCCGGGATAGGACAGCTGGCATAGATGTCGTTGAAGTACATCTCCCCTCCGCTCTGCCTCACAAAAGTAAAATAAGTCATGATCAATGCAAATAAACCGGAAAGCCGAAGCACTAAAGTGCAAAACACTAAGAATCGAGGGAGATCCGTCCCTAAACTTAAGGGAGCAAGATAAACGAGCGAAAGAACAAATAAAAAAGTAAAATTGTGATTATAAATCATCTGCAGACAGATTCACTCAATATGCTTAATAGTGGAAAAGGCCCCTTTACAGAAGGCATTCCAAGGGCTTGCATGCATGCGGGGAGCTGCTCAGGAAGAAAAAAAAAAAGTCTAAGCAATAACCGCTTATAAGGTATTATTGGATTTGTTCCCCCCCCCCCCCCTCCTTAGCAGACAAAAGCAAGGCCCTTCAAGTTCGTGTCGTGAGTTTACCCTGGGTTCAAAAGGGTTTCAAAGCTCGCAGCCAAGGACTCCATTATTTATGACGTGGAAGTTCCCGTATGACCCAATAAGCATAAATTTCTGGCGTTCCTCGTCCCATTGCGATAAGGAACAGACTTTTTTCATTTTGCAATTGTTTTCTGCGTAATATGCATTGTTGCAGAATTTGATAAATACTCACCAGGTAAAAAATAAATCTTGCCTATTCAAGTAACCAATGTAAATTCGAATAGCTTCTGAAAGCATTGACATTCATCGACGCAAACCATGGAACTTCCCAGATCACAATCCAGAGTGAAGACCCACAAGAATTTATTAATAATAATGAATTACATTAAATTAAGTAAAAACATTTCTTGCCAAACAAAAGATTTCTTTCCATGAATTTCGGTTCACCTTTGGGAAGAACCGGACGACGTGGGTTTAGAAGGAATAGGTATCGCCGACCATAAGTCGATAAATATCGCGAAACCGGAAACGCAATGGAAAAGTTCGCAGATCAGAATGACATTGCGGTCCTGCTCGTTTTCCAAGAAGCGGGCAGGAGACAACGGGCCTCCTAAAGGGATATCACAAGGCGATGCCATCAAGCCTCACATTAGCAGCTGAGGGCGGGGAAGTACCACAGGGTGATTCCTGCCCTCTCCTTGCTCCATGGACCAAATGGCTCTGGCAGACATTGCAATAAAGCCTTCTATTTAGGTTTCCCGTCGTCAAGCCTCCATAAAAATGGGTCTAGTAATTAGGGGGAATGGCATATGGTGATGAAAGCGCCCTTGTATGACTTCCCCACGTCTATCATGCGCCATTTCCCTTTACACTTAAATTTGGTATGCATACAAGGCTATCAGGAAGGGGCAGCATGATGCTGAAAAACGATATCCCGATATGCGGACGTATTCCCGATAGGAGTAACGTGAAACGATATCGCAACATCGCGATTATCGGCACTGCCCTACCTTCAGGTGATTATAGGCCTGGGAGAGGACGCTTCGCTTGTCCGAGCAGAGATTCATCACGCAGTTCGACCTGCAAACATAAAACATGAAAAATGCTTGCACGATAGATCGTTCCAAGACCGAATTCTATCGAATGATGGATATCATACACGATGACGTCGAAGTATTTCTCCTTTAGATTGAGATCTTGAAGGTTTTCGAGATAACCATGTTTGAATTTGACATTGGGTAGGGCCATGAATCCAAACTTCGCCATGTGATAATTCAAGTATTGTTCCGCTTTAGCAATCTGAGGCGAGGATTCCATCGCGTTACATGAAAAAAAGAAAGCGAGAAATAATGACGAACGGTGAAATATTTCGTAATATAAAATAATTCGCTTTACATGTGTAAAGCGAATGAGACCAAGAAAATGATGTGTAACTGCAAATTTTTAGAAATTCAATTTGCTGTGTCTTCACTTTCGGTTTATCTTTCCCTCGTAATTTACAGGTCTAATTGAACGAGCACGTATTAGAGAGAGTAAATGAACCAGACAATATAAGCCAAAGGTACACAAAAATAACGAGAAACGAAATGGGATGAGAACGAGACCTGGTGAGGGTTCATGTCGACCCCGACGACGATCCCGTGCTCCCCGACCAGCTGGCTGAGGACGAAGGCGTCCCTGCCAGCGTCACAACCGAGATCGAGGACCTTGCAGCCCTCCAATCCGTCCGGGAACGGCATCCCACAGCCGTATTTCCTGCAAAGCCGAATCCCGCCGCGCCTTCAGAAAACGACATCCATCGAAATGCGCAGGGCGACCCGCTCCACGAAGAGATTGCATAGGCTAATGTTGAGAAACCTTCGGTCCGATTCCCTGTCGCCATATTTCAGGCAGATGCTAATTTTTCTTTCCGATCTTGCTGCCTCCTCGTCTCGACCTTCGCTGCCGTCCCAAGAAATGTACGAACCTTCAAAGGATCCGCATGGTTATCCACACGAGAAAATACCTCGACTCCTGCCCTGAAACGCGGCAGATGAGGGCTCCCCGATCGGTTCCCTTCGTTGCAAAGTGGATTTGACCGAGTAGAGCTCTTGTGAGCCGCTTCTCTCGAAAGTGGACTTTCGCATGAGAATTACCTTCGCGCAGTGCTCTAAATTTCAAAGAGGCCCGCGAGAGAAAGGTTGAATTCGGACGTAACCATGGATATCGATGTAGGTTTTGCCATACGAAGAGTTGCTTCCATCTCGACGTCACACTTCATGTTAAAACCAAGAAGTGGGTCAGATGGGGTGCCAGTTTTTCCCATCCCACAGGCCCATTTTCACTTTCTTTCCCGTTCTGCCTTGTTTTGTCGCAGAGACGGTTTTCTCGCTTTTACATTCGACTTCCATCGAATTTCAATCGATCTTCATGCTGTCCCTCGCTCTACGAGGTCATCAGTACATCATGCCATCCGCGGGGACATCGAGCCGTGTTTTGGGATTCATGATCTACAGCGAGGACAGTTACGTGCATACATTTTTTGCGTTTTTCACTGCGGATCAACAGGATCGTCGAGATCGTCCGGGAGACACTTGTATTAAATTATTGTAGACAATACACATTAAGGGAGAACGAGAACAAGAGTGCAAAATATGGTCGTTATGTTCCCATAAATGTATTTTCAGCTTCCAGTGCATGGACTCCATCCCGGTTTCATTTTGACCGAACCTTTCACTTCGCAGCAGCTAAACACACAATCTCTAAACCCACAATCGCTAAACCCACAATCGCTAAACCCACAATCTCTAAACCCACAATCTCTAAACCCACAATCACTAAACCCACAATCTCTAAACCCACAATCACTAAACCCACAATCTCTAAACCCACAATAGGTAAATCCACAGCAGAACTTCATCCTTAAGTCAAGTCCTGCAATGTGAGAGATGGCATGAAAGTATCCACTTTGTTTTGGAACTTGGAACTCATATTCCAATCATTAGCTATTTGCGAATGAGATTGAGAAAATCTGCAGCATCGGTGGGGGGGGGGGAGGTTTGCAATACGTTTAATCTGAATATTGGCTCCGAGAAGAACGAGAAGTCGATAGCCAATGCTGCTCTTTCGTGCTTCTGCCGCCTTCGAAATCTGGCGAATTTTGAAAAGGGCTGTGTGGTCAGAATCGGGTCCATCGGGACAGGATCATGCTGGAAGTCGATATTGGCCTCTCGGTTATTGACAATAGCAGAATTTAGCATTTCTAACGTGGCTACTATCGCTATAAAACTAGGTCAAATATTCGAGTGTGTCCAGCTATTCACATGAAGGGAAAGTCTCTCTCTCTCTCTCTCTCTCTTCTGAGGGGGGTAAACCTGATACCGCTGTCGGAGGAGAATGAAAAATGAATGAACGTGGAAACATCCTCATACAATACCTGCAGAGCATCCTTATGCAATAACCGTAAGAATCTACCAAACATTGGATGTCGCTAAGCGAGTTGCAAAAACGGACGTCATGCCACGTGTCACGGCTCAAGGCCGATGAGTTCTCAAAGGCACTGACACGCGCTTGGGACTCGTGAGGCTTTCTGTGCGGCGCAAGTGCGCTGCAGCGCTGTTTATCCGCTGCAGAGGATTGTTTTCAGAGGATTGAGAGGGTCGACCGAGAAGCAGGTCGGATGCGATCGGCAGCGACAGTCGTGTCATTCGATTATCGTCATTAAAAATTATCGTAATTTCCTCTCGTGACGCACGTTACACAAGCCTTTTTTTTTTAGCCCAATCTACAAATATTGCTCTAGTAAATTCGTTCAATCATTGCGTTGGGGCTTCCACCCAGATGCGGCCACACAACGATTACTACAGCATCTGATGGCAACTGCCATGACAAACAATTTTCTGAGGTGAGATTGTATTAACGGTTGTGCGCAAGTAAAACTCAGAAAAGTGACCCTGAAAATCCCGCAAAAGGATCTACGAGTGCAACGCAAAGTGCCAAAAAAAAGTGCAGCGTCACCTCCACCTTAAAGGAAAAAAAAGGGAAATTCCTCTCTGTAAGGGAGCCTTCCACGCAAACAAACGAGCATCACGCGGCAATCACGCCCTTCTCCTCGAGGTCACCAGGCAGAAACTGGGATATACAAGCGGAGCGCGCTCCCTCCGCGCGTCGGAGACCAATGAGCGAACGGAAGAGGCGGACTCATCCGGACTCATCCGGACTCATCCGGTCTTTCCTTCTGCAGCGAATCGAAGACGACGATGAGAGCTTTCGAGCGGTGTGGGATTCCGGGAAACCGAAAGAAATGGCTTTTCTTGGTGAACTCTCCTTTTTTTTTTGCAAATTCCTTGATGCTCCGCATGTTATGCATTTGGGAAATTCTCTTTTTTAAAAATCTCTCGGAAATGAATCGAGATGCTTTTTTGCACCGCGACGTCACGTGACTTCTCATCGTCGTTGCTTTCGGCGTTCAATGTCGAAAGGCAAACGGAGACGATTCCACGAAGAAATCGAATTATGCATAAATAGCGACGAAAGAGCAGGAACAGAAAGGCAAAAGGCGCATCTCAACACCTCCATCTATACCGCAGACTCCGAAAGAAATGCGTCCGAAATACGAGCCGTGACAAATTAAGGTCCAAAGGAAACGCGATGACGGATTTCAACACGCAAAAAAATACCGTTTCTCCTAGACAAAGTACCCGACGTTCACTTCTGCAGGGGTGCGACGAGTGCTGCCGGTTTTCTTTTCAACGGCAACTCGTGAGGCAAACCTGACATCGACTTTGGTTCAAGAAACATAAACTAATCACAAAAGTTTCTTTAAAATCAGTTCGACCCTCGCAAGCTCCTCCCCTGAGAGAAACATAGATCTGAACGGACGGTGGTTCACATGTCATCCACCGTCCCGATGTCATCCACCGTCCCGATGTCATCCACCGTCTCGATGTCATCCACCGTCCCGATGTCATCCACCGTCCCGATGTCATCCGCCGACCCGATGTCATCCGCCGACCGACTCTTGGCCATCTCTCACTCTCTTCCACGCAGCTTCATATTGAGATTATTTCTCCTATGGCGGTGACTCGCTGCTGCACTGGACTTTTCCCAGAATGCTCTCTCCTCGTCATCCTTTCACGTGCTCCGCGATGCTTCGAGATGGAAGCGCGCGTCACTCCCGAGCTCCAGATTTTAGTGCATATCGAATCCGGGAGCACGGCAGACCGAAAATATGCTCCCCCGAAGGTGAAACAGCCGGCTCGAAGGAAATTCCCCTCCTTATTCGATGCGAATATTTTTTTCTTCTCTCCTGGAGGGTTCCCATCGGCAGAGCAAAAATCCCTCCTGCACTTCCAAAAGCCAGAAAGCTCGAAAGACGCCCGATGATCCTCGTCGAAATGCGAACGGTAGCACCGCGTTTTGCATATCGCTCGCATCGCTGCTACCGGTATCGCCGCGGAGGGAAGCGATTCCGCCCACGCAACTATCGCCGCCGGGGAAAGGTCCGAGAGGATTCGTTAATGGAAGTTAATTGAATTATTCGGAATCGATAGAATTACGAGAAACTAATCAAGTCTTTCGAGATTAATCGGATCTACCTTCGAGTCTCTCCCAGCATCCTCGTTTTTCACAGTTGTTCCAAAGAGCCAAATTTATTTAAATACTGAAATCCGATCAAAATGGTGGCTTCTAAAAGCTCTTCTTTCCCGAGTTGCTCTCTTCGACGAGTAAACATGCGAATTTCCTTTTAAAGAGAACAATAACAAGGGAAAGGATAGCGCAAAAAAAGAGGGCGAGATTTAAATAAATGAATAGAGCCGTTTTCCAATTTCCAATCGATTCTGAGCGGTCCCGCAGAGGCGCAATCCGCGCAAAACCTAAGCAAAAAGAACGTGACGAAGCCTGTCGTCCTTGCGCAGGCATCGAAGGCGACGTTAAAATAACAGAAGGGGGAACGAGGGGTGTAAGCCGGAGCATGGCTTATCGTTCTCCGCCTGATTATTCTTTCTCCTTGCTGGCGCTTATCGATAATCGCCTCGATCTCCTTGCAGTCGCGGATCGGAGCGTTTCGGATCTGGTTGAGATCGACCGGATTTACAGTGCGCCCCGAAACGGTTCGGCTTTCGCGCTCATTTGCAAATGTTGGACCGCGTGGAAAATAAATGTTGGGTCCAATCAGGCCTGCTTGAGAGGCGATCCCATTCGGAGGGGGAAAGACGCTCCGTTCCGTCCGGACTCCTTTTTCGAGCCATCGATAAAATCGAGGAAACCCCTCGATACGTTTGCCGAGCCTTATCATTGGACATGCAGCTCGACCGAGTCCTTCCCGGGAGACGAAAGGAAGGACGACCGATGGAAGATAATGGAGAGGAAGGACTCCCCCCCTTCCCCCCCCCCCTTGCTCCGCTCCTTCCTCTATTGCGCAACGTACGACCCTTCCTATTTTTCCCCTTTTGCCCTTGAGGCTGCTCGAATGCCTATGGAATGCATGCACTTCCTCGACACCTCTGTCCCCGTCACGACCAAAGCTAAAGTTCCTTCCGCTCGAATCCATTTCCGCAAGCGCTGGGGTCGGCCGTGCCAGACGGCATCGATATCTCAGAACGAATCTCGAATGACATGCATCATTTAGCATTCGGGAGATACAGGGAGGTGAACTCATTCCAATCGATGAATTATTTAAATCGATTTGTCCCCCTTGATTTATTGAATCGTGGCAACGCCACAGATTGAACTCCTCTCATCACCACACAAGGGGGAAAAAGGACTCACGTGGTCCTGACGTCATCATGGACCTTCTCCAAACACGTCTTGAAATGAAACGGAACCTTGGGAGAGCACTGAACGATGCACGCCACTCTCTTCTCGCTCTTGACCTTACCGCAATATGGCTGGGTCGCAGGAATCTTTCCCCGCTTGCAACACGCCATGAAGGCGCGCGCGGGCTCGACTGGAAGGAATCGGCAGACGTCAGCCGAGAAGGAGGACGAGGAAGGGGGGGGGAGAGGTCGGGAGCGACGGTGGCACCACCTCGACTGTCGGCCGAGAAGGTGAGCGGGTTCGTGCCTCTGGCGATTCCGGGGACGGGGCTGTGTTCGTCGCGACGGGGGTTTCGTGACCTTCAACAGGTGTTCGAATGCGAGATTTGAATTCGATTCCGCCTCGACTTTTCCTCTTAAGCCTTTGATCTGACAACTTCGAATCGAATAAGCCCATGGGATCGCGTGACTCGAATCCAATCGAATAAGCCCGAGGGTCCACGCATTCATGTGATACGTCTCAGGGATGCATGGCGACTTGGATTGATTTTAAATATTTTTTCTAAGACCTAAGGAAACTGATAACTTATCATATTTTAGATCGTACCCTTGTAGCATATAACATTGAAACCACATCGATTCAATGTTCATTCAACATCCGGACGTTGAACCAATGTCATATGCAACTAGGGTTGCAAAATCGACACACTCTCAATGTTTTTCGGGCAATCGCTCCGATTTCTACTCAATTAGCTGTTTCGGTTTGGTCCACGAGAAAATAAATGCAATTTGTATGATCCCGGGACGAAATGTTCGTTCGTTTCAAGCCCTTTTTTTTTTATCCTTTGTATCCATATAAAACCCGCTGGCAAGTACTGAAATATGACAAATGCACACTTGAAAGGTATGTGATGACCTTTGACCCCTGATATGACTCTCAAAACTGTTTTTCTTCCAATTTGGCGTGCATCAGCCTTGAGTGATAATGCGACTAAACAACAATTTTCATAATTACGTTTCCAATATATTTAATGAAGACCACTCTTCACCTAACGCAGCTAAATTATTGAGAGCTACTAAAGAAAATATATTTACTTCTGTGGCACATTATTCCTGTTCAATGCCTGTTCGATAATAATTTTCTTTCCTGGATTGAGAATCGAGTCCATATAAATCTCAAGTAACCGAGAAATCACCGAAGCAGCGAGACAATTTCAGGCGTGAAAATGCATTCGAAGCGCGGAAGAACCTCGCGAGAAGCAAATCCCCGAAAGGGGAGAAAGCCGGACAGACGACCTCGGGCATAGCTGCCAAGCGGGAACAAGTTTTCACGCGCTCTCTTCAGCCTCGGCTCGCCTTCAATTCCGTTTTTTCTCGCCGATTAAATAATTTGTGCCTGCATTTCCGGGTGTGATCGGCATAAGTGTCTTACACGAGGGGGAGGGTCGGATAAATACCTTGAAAATGAAAAAAAAAGGCCTGGTTTTCTGACATCCAGGAGAGAGGGCCTCGGTTTAGCCTTGGTCCCAGAACCTGGACATCGAAACGACTCGCCTGCCCGCCCATCGATGAGAGCCCCATTTTGGTTATCCGACTCTCTCGCCACGTGCAACCCGTACTTGCCGCCATTCGATCCTAAGCCTTGCTGCAAAAATATACGTGTTATTTATCCCGTCATTCTCTTCATTCATTACTTATCACGCCTCTTGCAACCAGGTGTCGGCGGGATGCGTCGGCGTCGAGTGCAAAGCGACCCGGGAAGGAGACGAACGCGATGACGGCGCTCCAGGGCACCGAGAAAACCTTCAACGCCGCCGTCGCCCTCATGGCCGAGCCAGAGCTCATTCCGTATGCCTTCTTCGGCCTCATCATCACTCTGGACGTCTACCTCCTCCCGTCCTGTCGAGATACCATCTGCGCCAAGAGATGGATGCGGCTCGGATGTGTCCGAGTCAGCGATTTCCTTATGCTTCCTTGAACTGCTTATTTCGATTGTCCTTCGGTTTATTTGAAAAACAAATAGAAAACAGTAAATTCATTTCGAATACGTTTTATCGAGTTAAGAAACAGGAAAAAGGCATATTGTTGCCACCACCGTACGTGGGCTTATCAAAAAGTCCTAGGACCGGCCTTCGTACGAGAAAACCACGCGCAGAAGTTAGGTTTCGGTATGATCCCCTTCCAAATAGTTTCCTTCGTTTGCGATACACTTTCCCCACGTTTGCTAAGAGATAGGAACACTGGCTGTGATCCATTTTTGGCAACCTCCTTCGACGCATTGGCAGCTGACCGGAGGCTAATTTCGAAATAACACAATGACACAGCAGAGCCCTCGTCTGATTGGCCGCAGGCGAATGACGTCACAAAATAGAGTCATGGCAGCATTCGCGACTTGAAGGAAGCAAGCATGGCGTGGAGATGTCAAAAGAACTGGAGGTAGCGCACGATAGAATGTGGCTGGTATCATGGCGGCTCTTCACCATTCGCTACGATGGGATTTTCATCATTTCCTCTCCCAGTTTTCATGCTGTCGTGAGCATGGTGGAAGGCAGTCATGGTACTGGAGGCCTAATAATTCAGGGGGGAGTTTCACGGGCGTGATAACGTTGGGTCGGAACTCTTTCTTCCATGGGTGCGATTCCCTAATTTTTTGAGCGGGCCTCAAGTTCCAGGCCTGCCTATGCCGAGATTGCTGGGCTTACGTTGGCGATAACGTTACGCCTTGCATCGTCACAGTCGACCTATTTCACAGCAGATCTACGGCATAAAGTCAAACGAACTTCGAGTAAACCGTTCGCAAGCAAAGATAGGCTAACGGAGATAAAGGGCGACCAAGAGGTGCAAGGTAGAGGTGTTAATGGATCGTAGTAGGGCATGCTTCCGTGTTCAGTATGCCTGCTCCGATGACCCGCGGTACCTGCTCCGTTATTCTGCCAATGCGCACCACAAGCCCGCTCTCAACTATGAATCACTTCGCACATGAATCGCCGGCTTTCTGCTAAGACCGATTTCCAACCGCCCTTTACTGCCATTAGCCTAAATCGAAGTATTGGATCCATGTGCACGATAGAGGAAGTCTTGGAACGACTCAATGAGGCCTATTGGGTTCCCCTGAGGACCTATTGCGCCAGCTGTGTCGGGGCTGTTGGCTGCGTGTGAGTGTAAGGAAGTAAGTCGAGTGGAAAAATCGTGAAAATTCCCATTGAAGTGAATGCTGACGAACCGCCACGATACCAACAAATATGGCCCGAATATTGAAACCTCCTTTAGTCAACCGTCCTTGTAAGAGTACAAGGATTCCCATAGGATTCCACGTATTCTTAAAGGACCGCTAACCAAAGGAGGTTTCAGCATTCGGGCCTAAGTCTTCCAATTGCAGCACGCACGCCTACTGTTCCTATGGATACGCCATCTGCAGTTCTTTTTCTTAGCTCCTCTCGAATGTGACGTCATCCATGCCTGACCAATCAGACGTGTGCGGCGCTGTACCGCTGTATTATTTCGATATTAGCCGACCGGAGAGCGCCCGTGTCGTCGAAGCAGTGGCCTTTCAGAAGGAACTTCATCCTGGGAAACAGGGTAAAATCGCAAGCCGCGAGGTCCTTCGAGTACGGAGGATGTGGGATGAATGTCACCCCACCATTGGATAGAAATTCCATGATACTGCCATGGAACCGATCGATTGCCGGCGGTCACTGCAGATAAGCTCAGAAAGGGCCTGCACGATTTCCTCATAACGGCTCGTCGATGACCTTCCCATCGTTCGTCATATTCAATGGATTCCCGCCCTCGTAATACTCCAAATTCTCGTGTGCGAATAGCCCCAGCGATTTCGGGCAGAGATCCATTGACGCGGTGGACAGCCATGGCCAAGGCATAACGAGGAAAGCCTTTTCCCAGCTTGTCTTCCCTGACATCCTCCACGCATAGAGGATGTCCGGTGGGCGTACTCGACGGACCTCGCGCCTTGTGATTTGACACGGTTTCCCAGAATGAAGTTCCCTCTGGAAGTTCGCCGCTTCGAGGACACAGGCGCTCTCCGGTCAGGCGCGACCAACGCGTTCGATGAGATTGCCTAGAATGGGTTACAGACAGTGTTCCAAGCTCTTTACAAACGCGTGGAGAAGAGCATCGCAAGTCGAGGGAACTATCAATATTTGGAATGGGATCATCCTGAAAACTTCTGTCCGTAGTTTCCTTGTACAAAGGCGGGTCCTGGAACTATTTGATAGGCTTACAAATATTCTACACAAAAAAAAACGACGACTTTAAAAACGGAAACATTTGGAGATGTGAAGAACAGCAATGCTGTACACTAGTTTTTTCACTAGCCATTGAGCTTCGTGATGCCGTGAGGTTAAGTAAAGATCCCGAAGATAGAAAGAAGTCTTTTCTAAGTTGATCCTTGGAGCTTCGTTTGGTTTGATCCCAAACTTACGACTCAAATGCTGTACCCAACAAGACCGGAAAGGCTTTCATAGGGGTCTGGGATCATATCGAACGGATTCGTCCTGGTGTACTAGTAAAGGGAAAAAAAAAAACAAAAAAAAAAACAAAATGACAGCGATTATTTGCATCCGACAGATGGCTGGAACCAAATTTAGTTTTTTTTTTCTGTCTTACCTCATGGGTCGATCCGTTGTCGATCACTTCCTGGAACTTGAAGTGAGTCCTGAATCTCGAGGTTTCCAGAATGGAAGCATATTCTTTGCTGATGTTCCTTGGAACCCCAGTCTGAAGAGAAGAAAATCAAGCTCTAAAAGACGAGGGAACCTGCCAAAAGAGTCGGTCGAAGCGAGGCTGACCTCGAAAACAAGGTCGTGCGCGAATTCCCAGGCGTCGAAGCAGTTGAGGAGTTTCCCATCGTAGACGGCGGCTTTCGGAGCGGCATCGTCGTTCGACGGCTTGAAGATGCGATACGTCACAGACGCAAACCTCAGGTCCTTGGGGAGTGGATCAGCTGGCGGAAGATGGAATTCCCAGGTCAAAATGTGAAGCAGAAATAAATATTTCAAAAAATGTACCATTGGGCGTGCCAGACCTCTCCTCTTGAGTTCCTCGATCTCGATGAAGACCGGCCTGACCTCCTTGATCAAGGGAGGATGGAACCCGATTTCGTCGCAGAGGGCGTGCAAGTCTTCCCACCACAGAGCGCCAGAGAAGCATTCGCCCCACAGATCCAACTTCTCCTGCAGGGACTCGGGGATCGGGCAGCTGGCGTAGATGTCGTTCAAGTACATTTCTCCTCCTCTCTGCATCGCAAAAAAAAAGGAAGCGAGACGTGAGGCTGCATCGACGCAATACAATAGATCCGAACCTATACAAATTCTACTTGGGCTTATATGGCAATGACATCGGGTCGGCTAGATGGTTTTTATCGGAACACACGTCGAAGTTGAATGCATTCAATCGATTGGATATCATGGGACTCATGATATCACGATCTCGTCAACGTAAAAAAAAAATTAGGAATCGCGGAGGAACACGCCCCAAAAAGAGACAAGACGCTGGAGGCAAAAAAGAGTCGCCTCTGGAGACATCCCAAGCAGCATGTTCACGTAAACAAGATATCAATTTGTTGCAAACAATGTAAATTTCTTGCGATTGCCATGAAAATGACATCACGAATACGTAAAATTTACGTTTCTATATTTACGTCACCAAAATTGTACGTGTCTTTAACATCAAGTAGACGTCACTCCATCTGACGTGAAGTACATGATAACAAGTTTATGAAAATTTAACACCACACCATCCATATGAAACTTCAGCTGACCATCCTGCAGTTGCAGTACCAAGATTTTATGACTCAGGGAATCATTAAATGCTGAAGTTAAGCTTTTTATTACAGCAGTGCACGAGATTAGGGAAGAGTAGAATCGCAGCTTCATGAGTACTACGTTTTTTCTATCCTAAGAGAAAGAGAGCTCCTTTGAACATTTACGCCTCCTCCTGAGATTCCGGTACGGGAGGAGGAAGCAGGAGGTCACTTTGGTACTCTTGAGTGCTGGTGAGGATGAGTACTCGTGTCACTCGTCCAACCACCCTAGAGTTCTGAAGAACGTAAAGGAATAGGAGATTCAGTGAATCAATTCCTTTAAATGGTACTGATTGACTCTTTAAATACGCATGGATGCCAGGGGAAAATTAACATAAATCTTACGTAAAATGAATGTAAACACGCTGTTTGGAATGCAAACGGTAATGTCAATTTTACGTAAAATGCACGTACACTTTGGTGACGCAAATATAGGAACGTAAGTTTTACGTAAACGTGACGTCATTTCATGGCAATCGCAATACATTTACATTGTTTGCAACAAATTGATATCTTGTTTGCGTAAACATGCTGCTTGGGAAGGCTCGCCCACACCAGGAAACTTTTCTTGCATAGACAATGAAAGAACACTCCAAGAAAAAACTTTGAAAGAAAATTTTCGTGGTGTGGACGTCTTTGAAAGTTCTTTCCGCAAGGATTTTCCTTCGTCAGAGCGCTCTCCATCCGAATGTTCGCGAAAGTGAAGTATTCAAAATGGCTCCCACCACGAGGGAATGAACGGCAGCGGCGACACTAACATGTTCGCGCTTATTCGTCTCTCGCGAGAGAGTTTCGGATTCAAGAAATGGATTCACGAATTTTGTGCGGATGGGTGGGCAGGAATCCGAGGAAATCCCGAGACGAATCGGCCGGAGAGAGCCTGGTGATTTCTCGGAGATTTTCGGCGGATTCGCCGGCCTCTACTGCGTATCTCTTCTTTGCGATGGTTTGCACGGGGTCTTCATTTTACCGGTTAAAACCCGAAGAAATGCAAATTAAATATAAAAAAAGGAATAATAACTCAGAGATAAGTGAAACTTAATGATACGAGAACCGAGACGCGGTGAAGTGCAAATTGACAATCACAGTCGCAACACGCCACAAGACATATTGGTAGTGGTCACCGCCACACGACATATTGGTAGTGGCCACACAAACGTGCACGGCGGAGCTTGGTGCTGGGGACAGACCGCGACAACGCCGGCCGAATGTTTAATTAATTTTCGGCCATCGCATCGCGCATAAAGGACCATGGCCTCGACGCTCACTATCGTCACCGGATTTCTTATCGTCGGGCTAGGTTAAATCCCAATGCGGAGAATCCCCTCGCTCTGAAGAAAAACTCGCGCATTGCACGTGTTTTTCTCCTCTGAAGCTGGTATCTTTCCTGGCAGCAGGCTTTCCAACGAACTGAGAAGGTGTTTCCCCCCCCCCCATGCCATTGGCTTTTCCAAGTTTCGTGCTGAAAACAAATTTTGCCGCATTTATCAAAAATAGCTTTGGATCTCTTTCACTGCCCGAACGTCGGTCAAAAAAAAAAAACGAAAAAAGAGCTGGTGCGCAAACACCAAATTTCAGCGACTGGACTTTTCACATTTCGAATTTTGCTTTGCACTTCAACCACCGGTACTTCCATTTCAGTCGCAAGATTAGACCAGCCAGTTTTCTTTTCATCGTATCACTTCTCACGTTCCAAAGGCACTCTTCCAATCAATATTTATCATATCAATACTTTTTAATATCAATATGTATCGTATGAATATGTATCGTATCAATATGTATCGTATCAATATGTATCGTATCAATATTTATCGTATCAATATTTATCATATCAGTATTTTCCTTGGTCCCACTCCATTTCCAAATTTTCCACCTATGCAAGGAAAGTAGACTGGGTTTCCCCTTTTTCCCCTTTGGAAAGTCTCTTGCAACGAGGACTCAGAAAGAAAAATTCTTGCAAAGGAAACTTTCAAAGACGTCCACACAATCAAAAAGATTTCTCTTCAAGTCGACTGGCGAAGGAAAATGGCGTAGGAAACTTTCTGGCGTGTGACGAGGTTCAAAATTCTCTCGGCGTTTCCCTGGGAAAAAAAAAAATTTGCGGCAATCGCGACTTTTGCTTGGAGTGGAATTCCTGGGCGCGCGGCAATTGGCAATTGGTCGCAGTAATTGCTCGTGGAAGTCCTCGAGGTTCGGCATGAGGTCGGCGGCGGCTCCGATTCCGCGATGAGAAACAACTTGAGCTCAAATTTTTTTTCTCTCTTTTTAATAAAGTTTTGATTCTTTCTTGAACTAGTCGCGCGAAAAAAAAATAATAATTCTGCGTGAAATGGATATAAGCATATAAATTAAATGAACATTTTGGGAAAATGGACATTGGTCCATTGACCGATGGAACAGCGTAGATGAAATGCCAAAGCGAAAGCTAAAAAAAAAAAAATTGAAATAAATAAAAATAAGTTGGAAAGAAAAACACGAAAGGCAAGACATTGAACTTTCCGTTCACCTTCAGGTGATTAAACGACTGGGAGAGGAGGCTGCGCTTGTCCGAGCAGAAATTCATCACGCAGTTCGACCTGCAAGCACAAGACGTGGAGAATTACTGGCAGGTCGGTACTCGTTTGGGGGGGGGGATGGAATCGAGGGAACCGTACACGATGACGTCGAAGTACTTCTCCTTCAGATTGAGATCCCGAAGATTCTCCAGGAGGCCGTGCTTGAATTTCACATTCGGCAGGACCGAGAACCCGAACTTCTCCATGTGATAATTCAAGTACTCCTCCGCCTTGGCAACCTGTCGCCAAAAAAAATTCCACATAAAAAAAAATTCAAAATAATAAATAATAAAAATCGGGAAAAGAAGGGGGTCGACCTGGTGCTCGTTCATGTCGACCCCGACGACGATCCCGTGCTCCCCGACCAACTGGCTGAGGACGAAGGCGTCCCTGCCCGTGCCGCATCCCAGATCGAGGACCTTGCAGGATCCCAGCCCGTCCGGGAACGGCATCCCGCAGCCGTAATTCCTGCGGGAAAGTTCCGATCTTATCGCGTTATCCGGGTGATGACAATAACAAATAACGATGACCGGCGGTCGTAACGAGTGGCGTCTGCTGCATATAAGAAGGAAAAGCAGGCCAGCCGAAGAATCGATTTGGTCCATTCGACTGACTCGCTTCCACCCTTTTTCCTCCTTGCGTTCTCGCCATGCTTGAAACGGAGCAGAGCATGGCTCTGTTTGCTTTTCCTTTTTTTTTTAACTTCGGTCGGCTTTTAACCCTTATAAGGTTTGCCTCGGTAAAATCCGAGAGATATGTTTGTCATCGGCATGACCGGAAAATAGAGCGAGATATTCTCTAAGTTTCAACTCATAAAAAAAAAAACGAAAAAGGGGAAGCACAAAGTTTTGCGAGCCGCCGGAAAAGAAAAACTTGGTCCGTGATTGGCTCTTCTCGATAGAGCCATGCACGGCTCCGAATCTCTTGCGTTCGTATAAACGCTGAAGAGACGCCGATTTCAGTTCATGGAAACGATGAAAGCCAATGTCTTCTGAGGCTGGCTTCAACCAAGCATTAACTTCCCCGCGATCCATTCATTAATCTAATGGGCAGTTCTGAAAGCGAATGAGTTCGGGCGGGAGGCCCGAGTCGGCCTCTATCGGACTCCGGGGAAATTCTTTAAATATTTCCTCCTCGGTCCAACCCGATTCTGGATCGAAAATTCTCGGTTGGTTGCACTTGACATCGATGCGGAAAAAGTTTTCAGAGAAATGAATAAATAAAACGTGCGCGAGGAATAGCAGGCGATTTTTGCGCGACCTTGCGCGCCTGCCGAAAATCGCCCGCGAAAAAAAAATAATAAAACGGATTAATCCGGATTAAACTGGATAAATGTTGATCGGTAGCCGAAGCCCTCCTATCAGGAATTCAATCACTTCATAGGTTGTAAACCAAACTCAAAACCAAAACCAAAACCAACAAAAAAAACCAAATTCAAAACAAAAACCAAAACCAAAAAAAAAACCAAACCCAAAACCAAAACCAAAACCAAAACCAAAACCAAAACCAAAACCAAACTCGCACTGCGCTCTGTCGTTCATGAAGTTGGACTATGCTTCCCTCTTCGCTCTCCCAGCCATTTGGAGGCTTTTTTTTTATTTTGGTCAATGACCTTTTTATTTACACGGCATGCCCTTTACAGAAAGAGGATACGAGGTGGGGCGGAATAGAATATACAATCGGTGGTCGAGAAAGATTGTCGACGGTCGGTCGGAGCGAAGATCGCGGGGGTTTGGTGGTTCCGCGGCCAGCCACCAAGAGGTGTTGTCAGGCCTGCCTTAGTGCTAATCCGGTGCTAATCTAGTGTTAAATAGGTGGCAGGGTTAATCTCTTTCCTATGAGATGCCCTTTCGTCCATGCCGGACCGGGAAATTGCTCTGACGTTTTTGTCGGCCAAATCAGAGAAGAAAGACGATCCCGAATTCATTCAAGCTTCTGTCTGGTTTCTCACCGCTTTCCGTCTGGTTTCTCACCGCTTTCCGTCTGGTTTCCCATCGCTTTCCCTTCCTCCGCTGGATTCCTCGGCTCGTTGCGTCCAAGGAGGAGGCAGAATCGCGTCGGATCGATATTTTAGGGGACAGTATCGACGAGTATTTTTCTCGCGTGTCGATTTCGAGACGGGAGGATGGCGGAGGACGGCGAGTCGAGAAAAAATTCAAGCCGGCACGTTTTATTCATTTACGGAACCGTGCATACGTGTGCTTCGTGGACCTCGAAAAAGCGTACGGCCGCGTGCCCCGAGGGAAGCCGAGGAGATGAGCACGGGACGAGTACGTGAAGGAGCACGGGACGAAGGATCGGCTATTGCGGGCCGTTCGGTCCGCGTACGGTCGATGCGGGAGCTGCGTTCGAGAGAGCGGGAGGAGTCCGGATTCTTTTTCTGATTAGCGCTGGACTCCGCCGTAGGGTCCCGTCCACTCTCCTTTCCGGTTCCTCGTGTACATGGAGGGGACCTGTAGGCGCGGCCGAGGCCTGGAGAGGGAAGGGTGGTCGACATCGGTGACGTCACGGTCTTCTCTTAGCCGACGGTGCCGTCACGTGACGCGGACGAGAGCTCCAGAGCGGGCTCGATCGGTTCGACTCCGAATGCAATGCGGCCGGGACGAAGCCGAGCGTCCCCAACGTACGGGTCGTGGTGCTCTCCGCAGATCCCGGACCGTGCGCCCTGCAGGTCGGTGGGGTTCCTAAGGAACGGGTGGGGACGTTCGAGTGCCTCGGGGTCTGGTCCGAGAGCGACGGGCGACGCGGAAACGAGATCGACGGCCGCGTCTCTCCGAGGCTTCTGCAGTTTTGCGAGTCGCGGTCGCCGGATCGGAAGTCTCTCGGGAGGCGAGACTCCCGGTTTCCACGTCTTCACCTGTGGTCGCGAACTCCGGGCGACGACCGGAAGAACCGGATCGCGAATGCGAGCCGCCTCGATGGAAATCCCGGTCTTCCGGGCCGAGACGACCGGCGAGAGGCTCGGGGTCCCCACCGACCGAACTCGAGTCCGTCGCCCGGGATCGAGGTCACTGGGAGGACGATCGAGGTCGTTGGAGGACGCTCCTGGGCGTGCTCGAGCAGGTCACCCCATTAAATCGGGAAAAGCGATATCGAAGATGTACGAATGCATATTTACATTAATAAGATTTAATTAAAAATATTGCGCATGCAAGAGAATCGGGGGAGCGAGCCCATTCGGTATTTCGACTCCCTCCAAATTAAATCCGAGATGAGTTCCGTCGCGCCCTGTCTGGTCTGACATTTTCCTGCGATGCCGATGGAGCGGTCCGACGAGGCCAAGGTCGGATCGGGGTCGGCCGTGCGACGGGCGACGACTCGGTCGTCGTCGACGGGTCGGTCGTTCGATCGAGCGCCGAAGCGGGCGACTCGGGTCGCCGATGGCAACTTCATCGCCGAAAACGCCGAGGAAGGATTAAATCCACAGACATCAATCATTACAAAAAAAAACTACAAGTCGACCAAGAATTCCTCTTTAAAAAAAAAAAGAAGAAAGGAACGCCATCAGCTCGCCAAGGTCATCGGTCCGAGAGAAACTGGGATTCCCAAGTGGAACATGTCCTCAATGCCTTCTACAGGCCGTCACACCCCCTTCAAACCAGTTTCCACTGCCTCTCTCTCTACTTTTTTTATTATATGATATTTATATAAGCGAGTCCCCGGATGTCCCAGAGTTGTGAGTAAAAGACAAGTGGTACGTGTACAACACTGTCAATATAATAAATAAAATAGTAAATAGTCCCATTTTAACCTCTTTCATGGAGGCAACCCTCAAACGGCAACCCTCGCACGGCGACTCTCACATGTTTTTCTCGAATTTCCAACTTTCCATTTTTGAGATTCGACCCCCCCCCCCCCTCCCCCTCCGGACGTTGAACCAATGTCATATGCAACTAAGGTTGCAAAATCGACACACTCTCAATGTTTTTTGGGGCAATCATTCCGATTTCTACTCAATTAGCTGTTTCGGTTTGGTCCACGAGAAAATAAAGGCAATTTGTATGATCCCGGGACGAAATGTTCGTTTGGAACAATTTCAAGCCCTTTTTTTTATCCTTTGCATACAAAACCCGCTGGCAATTACTGAAATATGACAAATGCACACTTGAAAGGTATGTGATGACCTTTGACCCCTGATATGACTCTCAAAACTGTTTTTCTTCCAATTTGGCGTGCATCAGCCTTGAGTGATAATGCGACTAACCAACAATTTTCATAATTACGTTTCCAATATATTTATTTAATGAAGACCACTCTTCACCTAACGCAGCTAAATTATTGAGAGCTACTAAAGAAAATATATTTACTTCTGTGGCACATTATTCCTGTTCAATGCCTGTTCGATAATAATTTTCTTTCCTGGACTTCTCTTCTAATTTTATTTTATTTTTCCAATGTTCAGTTAGGATTTGGAAAAAATGATAAATGCCTTGTCAGTCCTTAAACTCGATCCCAATGCAGATACTTCTACCGACTGAGAATCGAGTCCATATAAATCTCAAGTAACCGAGAAATCACCGAAGCAGCGAGACAATTTCAGGCGTGAAAATGCATTCGAAGCGCGGAAGAACCTCGCGAGAAGCAAATCCCCGAAAGGGGAGAGAGCCGGACAGACGACCTCGGGCATAGCTGCCAGGCATGAACAAGTTTTCACGCGCTCTCTTCAGCCTCGGCTCGCCTTCAATTCCGTTTGTTCTCTCCGATTAAATAATTTGTGCCTGCATTTCCGGCTGTGATCGGCATAAGTGTCTTACACGAGGGGGAGGGTCGGATAAATACCTTGTAAATGAAAAAAAAGGCCTGGTTTTCTGACATCCAGGAGAGAGGGCCTCGGTTTAGCCTTGGTCCCAGAACCTGGACATCGAAACGACTCGCCTGCCCGCCCATCGATGAGATCCCCATTTTGGTTATCCGACTCTCTCGCCACGTGCAACCCGTACTTGCCGCCATTCGATCCTAAGCCTTGCTGCAAAAATATACGTGTTATTTATCCCGTCATTCTCTTCATTCATTACTTATCACG